GACTTTTCAACACCCTCCCACCATGCATAAGGGGAATTACCAATACGCCCCTGGCTGCCTTCAAGAGGGAGCTGGACAGATACTTAAAGTCGGTGCCGAATCAACCGGGCTGTGGTTCTCACGTTGGACTACGTGCGGCCAGCAGTAATAGCCTGCTGATCAGGGCGTAATCCACCGGCAAGACTGGTCGTGGACCGGGCCGCAGGGGCGTTAATCCCCGGAATACCCTCCAAGTAACTTAGGTAAGTTACCCGTAGTTGATTCCCAGACCTTTAGGCGCCGTGGTTATAAAACTGATGTCATTTGTCTCTCCCATTACTTCTCAGTGGGAAAGAGAGTGTGATCATCAAGTCTAATCATGAACCTCACATCAAAGGAACGCCGTCTGAATAAAGATTTGCTCCGCAAACTGTCTTTTCCACATACGTATTATTGTTTTTGAGCTAGAGACAAGGTGTTTGGTTCTGAACCTTCTGGAGTTACCAATGCTGCTACTGATTTTCTAATTGCCCTATATCGGTAGTTTCAGAAATTATGATAGCAGTATGTAACTCTGTGTTATAAGCTTGTTTTTCTACGCACCGATATTTTCTTCCTCCTTCGTACTGTCATGTTATCAAATGATGCCTCTATGTTGAAATGCTCACATAATGTTTAATATTAAAGATACATAATTCATTACAGGTAAAAGAGGATTTTGCTTAGCTTTACGAATTTAAACGAAACTACGTTTTTTTTAACGTTATCTGGAGTGCATACTTGCAATTTTTCGGGTGCATGGTAATGGTTTTTAGCTAATGGAGTTGGTTGAGTATACTGTGTGTAGAAAACAAATCTGTTTCATGCATGCATTGCATAGCTATATAATGAATAATGACCGTGAAAGATACTTTTAAGACAGTAATTATATCAGTCAAAGAGCATCAAGAAATATTTCCGGTGAAGAGAACTTGGTAAGTCACAACACACAACAGTCATTTCTCATTCTGCTGGAATCAGCAAGAACACGAAAGTAAAAACCGTTACTGGATATCTCTGAAACTTTAAAGGAAACTCAAGTTTCATAATCTTTTCCTGTCACAGACAATTCAGAAGCTTATTCGCAAGCTTGCTACCTTAACCAACAGGCTAGAAGCTTGCTACCTTAACCAACAAGCTTGCTACCTTAACCAACAGGCTAGAAGCTTGCTACCTTAACCAACAGGCTAGAAGCTTGCTACCTTAACCAACAGGCTAGAAGCTTGCTACCTTAACCAGCAAGCTTGCTACCTTAACCAACAAGCTAGAAGCTTGCTAACTTAACCAACAAGCTTGCTACCTTAACCAACAAGCTAGAAGCTTGCTACCTTAACCAACAAGCTAGAAGCTTGCTACCTTAACCAGCAAGTTTGCTACCTTAACCAACAAGCTAGAAGCTTGCTAACTTAACCAACAAGCTAGAAGCTTGCTAACTTAACCAACAAGCTAGAAACTTGCTAACTTAACCAACAAGCTAGAAGCTTGCTAACTTAACCAACAAGCTAGAAGCTTGCTAACTTAACCAACAAGCTAGAAGCTTGCTAACTTAACCAACAAGCTAGAAGCTTGCTAACTTAACCAACAAGCTAGAAGCTTGCTAACTTAACCAACAAGCTAGAAGCTTGCTAACTTAACCAACAAGCTAGAAACTTGTACCTAACCACAGTAATGCTACCTTAACCAGCAAGTTTGCAAACTTAACCATCACGCTAGAAGCTTGCTACCCTAACCAACAAGCTAGAAGCTTTGTACCTTAACCAGCAAGTTTGCTACCTTAACCAACAAGCTAGAAGCTTGGTACCTTAACCAGCAAGTTTGCTACCTTAACCAACAAGCTAGAAGCTTGGTACCTTAACCAGCAAGTTTGCTACCTTAACCATCAAGTTAGAAGCTTGCTACCTTAACCAACAAGCTAGAAGCTTGCTACCTTAACCAGCAAGTTTGCTACCTTAACCAACAAGCTAGAAGCTTGTTACCTTAACCATCAAGCTAGAAGCTTGCTACCTTAACCAACAAGCTAGAAGCTTGCTACCTTAACCAGCAAGTTTGCTACCTTAACCATCAAGCTAGAAGCTTGCTACCCTAACCAACAAGCTAGAAGCTTGCTACCTTAACCAGCAAGTTTGCTACCTTAACCAACAAGCTAGAAGCTTGCTACCTTAACCAGCAAGTTTGCTACCTTAACCAACAAGCTAGAAGCTTGCTACCTTAACCAGCAAGTTTGCTACCTTAACCAACAAGCTAGAAGCTTGTTACCTTAACTCAAATGAAGCTTGCTACTTAACCAACATGCTAGAAGCTTGTACTTACAGCATTTGCTACCTTAACCAACAAGCTAGGAGCTTGCTACCTAAAGCAGTTGTAACCTACAACAAGCTAGAAGCTTGCTACCTTAACCAGCAAGTTTGCTACCTTAACCAACAAGCTAGAAGCTTGCTACCTTAACCAGCAAGTTTGCTACCTTAACCAACAAGCTAGAAGCTTGTTACCTTAACCAACAAGCTAGAAGCTTGCTACCTTAACCAACAAAATAGAAGCTTGCTACCTTAACCAGCAAGTTTGCTACCTTAACCAACAAGCTAGAAGCTTGCTACCTTAACACAGCGAGTTGCTACCTTAACCAACAAGTAGAAGCTTGCTACCTTAACCAGCAAGTTTGCTACCTTAACCAACAAGCTAGAAGCTTGCTACCTTAACCAGCAAGTTTGCTACCTTAACCAACAAGCTAGAAGCTTGCTACCTTAACCAGCAAGTTTGCTACCTTAAGCAACAAGCTAGAAGCTTGCTACCTTAACCAGCAAGTTTGCTACCTTAACCAACAAGCTAGAAGCTTGCTACCCTAACCAACAAGTATTGCTACCTTAACAACAAGCTAGAAGCTTGCTACCTTAACCAGCAAGTTTGCTACCTTAACCATACAAGCTAGAAGCTTGTACCTACCCAGTTGTCTTTAAACCCAACAAGCTAGAAGCTTGCTACCCTAACCAACAAGCTAGAAGCTTGCTACCTTAACCAGCAAGTTTGCTACCTAACAACAAGCTAGAATTGCTACTTTAAACACAGCTTAGGCTCTACCTTAACCAGCAAGTTTGCTACCTTAACAACAAGCTAGAAGCTTGCTACGTTAACCAACAAATAGAAGCTTGCTACCTTAACCAGCAGTTGCTACCTAACAGCGATTTCCTTAAAAAACAAAGCTACCTTAACCAACAAGCTAGAGGCTTGCTACCTTAACCAGCAAGTTTGCTACCTTAAAAAGAAACCTACCAACGCAGAAGTTTGCTACCTTAACCAACAAGCTAGAAGCTTGCTACCTTAACACAGCAAGTTTGCTACCTTAACAACAAGCTAGAAGCTTGTCCTTACACAGTTGTACCTTAACCAACAAGCTAGAAGCTTGCTACCTTAACATCAGCGAAGTTGCTACCTTAACCAACAAGCTAGAAGCTTGCTACCTTAACCAGCAAGTTTGCTACCTTAACCAACAAGCCAGAAGCTTGCTACCTTAACCAGCAAGTTTGCTACCTTAACCAACAAGCTTGCTACCTTAACCATCAAGCTAGAAGCTTGGTACCCTAACCAACAAGCTAGAAGCTTGGTACCTTAACCAGCAAGTTTGCTACCTTAACCAACAAGCTAGAAGCTTGCTACCTTAACCAGCAAGTTTGCTACCTTGACCAACAAGCTAGAAGCTTGCTACCTTAACCAGCAAGCTTGCTACCTTAACCAACAAGCTAGAAGCTTGCTAACTTAACCAGCAAGTTTGCTACCTTAACCAACAAGCTAGAAGCTTGCTACCTTAACCATCAAGCTAGAAGCTTGCTACCCTAATCAACAAGCTAGAAGCTTGGTACCTTAACCAGCAAGTTTGCTACCTTAGCCAACAAGCTATAAGCTTGGTACCTTAATCAGCAAGTTTGCTGCCTTAACCGTCAAGCTGGAAGCTTGCTACCTTAACCAGCAAGTTTGCTACCTTAACCAACAAGCTAGAAGCTTGCTACCTTAACCAGCAAGTTTGCTACCTTAACCAACAAGCTAGAAGCTTGCTACCTTAACCATCAAGCTAGAAGCTTGCTACCTTAACCAACAAGCTAGAAGCTTGCTACCTTAACCAGCAAGTTTGCTACCTTAACCAACAAGCTAGAAGCTTGCTACCTTAACCATCAAGCTAGAAGCTTGGTACCTTAACCAACAAGATAGAAGCTTGCTACCTTAACCAATAAGATAGAAGCTTGCTACCTTAACCAACAAGATAGAAGCTTGCTACCTTAACCAGCAAGTTTGCTACCTCGACCAATAAGCTAGAAGCTTGCTACCTTAACCAGCAAGTTTGCTACCTCGACCAATAAGCTAGAAGCTTGCTACCTTAACCAGCAAGTTTGCTACCTTAACCATAAGCTGAAGCTTGGTCCTTAACCATCACTAGATTGTACCTTATACCAACAAGATAGTAAGCTTGCTACTTAACTTAGCAGTTTGTACTTTAAACAATGCTAGAAGCTTGCTCCTTAACAGCACAAGTTTGCTACTAACCATAACAAATTGTTGGGTACTAATCTACAGTGTTGTACTTAACCAATAGATTGAACTTGCTACTTAACCATTATGCTTAAATAGAACTTCTTATAACAGCACAGTTTAGCTGAGCACCTCGGATCAATTAGCTTAGCAAGTTGCTATTTAACACTAGTTTTGCTTACCTCACCAATAAGACTAGAATCATGCTTCTCTAGACCACAAAGTTACTTGTCCTGTGCCGGCAAGAGTTGATAATTATTACGTTTATTCTTATAATTAGGAAACTGATTTCTTCAACTAACATTATTTGATTATAGACGTTTAATAAAATACATTGTTTGGTTCAATAGTTAGCGCGTCTTTATTTAATAACAGTTTGTCATGAATTTTATGCTAAGTTATATAACACTTAGATATTTCATGTAAGTAAATCGTGACAAGTATGTCTCCGTTGATTGCATTAGTGTGTAAGGCGCCTGTGACACCCACGGGAATCAATGTCATTACCGGGGTCAACTCGCTCAAGTTGAACGGTACCCTCAGTTTCATCTGCCCCTTGAACATGGCCACCACATCCCTTAACACTACACAGAACCTCACCTGCTCTACGGTAACCGACCACACTGAAGTCCACTACTCCTTCGTCCCCCAAGTTGAGCCTTGCCAAGGTGAGTGACGACATTTTTCCCATCTCTGTTATTTTTCTTATCAGAATAACGAGTTACTGAGTTATCATCACTCATCCGTGATACTAGAGTTAAAACTAGATATTTTTTCAGCATAGGATAAATTACGACGTGACAGTTACTTGAAACTAAAAATGGTCGAGTTCCACATATAGCAAAGAACTAAATTTGCTTGAGAGTTTTGTTTCATGCGTAAACAAAATTCGTGCGACTTGGTAATGGTGGCCCGGTCTTTGATCGTTCATGCTCTGTATATAATCTCTGGCCTTCAAAAGCTTTATACAAGGATCCTCATTAAAAACTTCTTTCAAAATTACAGGTTCATGGTATAAATGTGAACAAAAGTTGTTTGAAAACAGTTTTTGTGAATGCAAACAGCGGAAAGGGATTAGCAAGGCTGAATATAATAACTGGTTTGCTACAAGACTCAGTCATGAGACCAGATTTATTTATAATATAATTAAATAACATCATTTGCATACTGCGTTGGTCTCCAAGAATGAAATGTATTCATCATCCTAATACTTTTATCAGTCCAAATGTTTATTTTTTCGTTTGTCGTCAGCTACATGCAGAAGTGTTTCCTCTCCTTCGTCGCTCACAAGACCTTGCTATCCTCTCCTGCAAAAATGTGTCTTGGAGCAACGTAGCGACGACCTGGTGGTACACCACCATGGATTCAATTGTTACAGTGTGTTTATTTCTAAGTAGTTCTGTTTATTTTACCGCAACCTCTTTATGAAATGTCATCAAGGACTACCATAAAGATAAGAATATCTCCCAGGTTCGTTTACCGCTCTCTCTCCAACTTCTTACAAAATTTGCAAATTTTTTCCTCAGAGGAAGAAGAAATGTTACATGTACAGTCCTTCCCTAATGTTATGGTTATTGCACGTTTGTCGTCATGTAGAAACGTGTCAATACTTCCCCATAGCTCCCAGACCTTGTTATCCTCTCCTGCCACAGTGTGTCTGGGAGCACCGAGTGTGGGCAACGCCACGACCACCTGGATCAACACCACCATATACCAAATCGGTGACATAGTGACAGCAACCTGCCTCAAGGGATACCAACTTGACTTCGGGGTAACTGACCAGACTGTCGTAACTGACCAGACTGTCAACTGCACGGCGACCGGCTGGGAAAACGTTACGTCCTGTTACTTAGGTTGGTGTACTTATTGCTTGGTGAGCATTATTTTGTCTGTTAGGTTAGTGTACCCATTGCTTGGTGAGCTTTGTTTTGTCTCTCCTGAAAGTGAGTACGAGATGGGGGGAGTAGAGGTGCCCCGTGGCCTGTGGCAAAAGCTCTCGCTTCACACGGCAAGGGCCCGGGTTCGATTCCCGGCGAAGGGGTGGCATCATCGGACATGTTTCCTTACACCGGTTGTCTATGTTCACCTATCAGTAAAATGGGTACCTGGGTGTGGGTCGCATCCTGGGATAAAATTGACTTAATTTCCCCGAAATACTCTGCATAACAAGTGGCTTTTTATATAGTAGTATGTCATTGATGTCAGCTAGGAATGTATACCTTGTACATGTACTTGTAGAAATAAAGATATTATTATTATTATTATTATTATTATTATTATTATTATTATTATTATTATTATATAACAGGAAGCTAATGGGGGTGTGTGAGGGATAAGTGAGGGTGAGCAAGCAGGGAATGAGTGAGGATAAGGGGGATGAAAAGAGTTAGGAACGGTGGAATGAAACGAAATGAAATTCCGAGCTAGTAGAGCTGAAAACGAGTTCAGAATTAAACACGTGGAAAGTGACGACGAGTGATGGCAGTGATGACATGTAATGGGGAATGAGGGTGAGTGATAAGAGGCAATGGTGAGTGATGGAGAGTGAGGTGAGTGATAAGGAGGCAGGCAGAAAAAGAAAGAAATAAAGAAAAGTGTTTGTCCTAGTTAAGGACGTGTGTTTATTATCAGAAGTTTAACTGAGGCATATATTCTTTCTGATAATTATAAACAAGGAAAAGAATCAAGTCTCCAAGGAGAGTCGAGTATAATGCATTGTTTACTGTGATGAGGAAGGTTAGGTTAGGTAAAGTTTGTTAGAAAACACGACAAGTGTTTCCTGACGTGGGTCTTAGTCATGTGATGACCCACAACGGGAGCTTTTGGTCATCTGACCGAGGCCTTCCACTGGCTTACCCGTCCACTCCTTTAAAAATTATGGAAGGGAATTTATAAGACGTGGTATAATTACAGCTGTAATAAGGAATCTTATGATAGTGATTGCTGTAATAAGCTAGGTATGATAATGGCAGGTATAACGAGGAGATATATAATAATGATTGCTGTATTAATCAGAGATACGATAATGATAGCTATAGTAAAGAAATATATAATGATAGAGCATATCAGGAGGCTGGTACGAAAAAAATGCTGTATATATAAATTATATTCCAACATAATAGATGCGCACTGTAACTAATTTTTGGCTCTGATGTCACGGTGGGAAGAGTAGATGGAAATTCAGTCATGATGGCATGACACTATATAATTATAACCCGAGCACAATATAATCTTAATTAAAGTACTTACAACTAGTATGGAAATACCTTATAAACTTATACCTAACAAAGTCTGTGTAAGTGTTTGTTTAACAGAGGAAAAACAGTTACAACTTCCTTACTATATATTCAGTGACCTGTATTCTAATTGCAATTATTGTTAGTATTGTTATAAAATTCAGTGGAAAGTATTGAACACATAAGGATCATGCGGCACTTAGGGAAGTGAGGTTAAGAGAAGTAAATCAGGTTGTATGTGAGGAACAGAAAGGTAGCTGTAATTCATCGAATCCAAAGTCCTACAGCAGCATCAGATAAACCCTGTCCTTGAAGTACAGTGAACTTTGTGTTCTCCCCAGCATGTGTTGACCAGCCTCCATCCCTGGGTGCCAACACTACGTGGAACATCACACACAACAACATCACCACAGTCCTCAACCACCAGTGTCCCAACGGTACTTTAATGTTGCTAAATGTAAGTACTATATTATTATTATTATTATTATTATTATTATTATTATTATTATTATTATTATTATTATTATAAAAACACTAAACGTATGTGGGTCATACAGTGCAAAAGAGAAAAGGTGTGTGCAGAAGGCAGAGGCAAGTGCCACAGAGTGTACATGAAAAACAAGTGCCAACCTGTGTGCAAGGTAAGGGCAAGTGCTCATGTGTGTGCAGGGTAATGCAACTAGACAAACGTTTGTGTGCATTGAAAGGGGGATGGCAAAGGGCGACGTATACACCGGGAGGGAAGAGGCAAGCATTAATAACGAGTGTGTCTGGGGAGACAGGTGCCAGTGTGTGCAGGGGTGAGGCAGATGCCAGGGTGTGTACAGGGGGAAGGTTGATGCCAGGGTGTGTGTGCAGTGGGAAGGCAAATGCCAGGGTGTGTGTACAGGGAAGGAGAGAGTGTGCAGAGCCAGGTAGGTGTGTAGGAGGTGCAGGAGAAGGCAGGTGCCAGGGTGTGTGCAGGGGTGAGGCAGATGCCAGGGTGTGTGCAAGGGTGAGACAGATGCCAGGGTGTGTGTGCAGGGGGAAGGCAGATGCCAGGGTGTGTGCAGGGGTGGGCAGATGCCAGGGTTGTGTGAGGGGAGGAAGATGCCAGGGTGTGTGTGCAGGGGGAAGGCAAATGCCAGGGTGTGTGCAGGGGGAAGGAAGATGCCAGGGTGTGTGCAGAGGGAAGGCAGATGCCAGGGTGTGTGCAGGGATGAGGCAGATGCCAGGGTGTGTGCAGGGGGAAGGAAGATACCAGTGTGTGTGCAGAGGGAAGGCAGATGCCAGGGTTTGTGCAGGGGAAAAGCAGATGCTAGGGTGTGTGGAGAGGGAAGGCAGATGCCACGGTGTGTGCATGGGGAAGGCAGACGCCAGGGTGTGGGCAGGAAAAGGCTCGTATAAACATATATACTGGGGAAGGTAAGTGGCAGTGTGTGTGAATTGGGGATTCAAGTGTTAAGTGTGTGTCTGGGGAGAGTTAAGTGCCAAGGTGTATAGGTGGAGGTTTGACGTGTGGAACAGAAGATTAGTCAGACTGAGGGAGACCACATATCGACAAAAATATGAGAATCAACACCGTGAGTCCTTAGATAGACGGGACACTCAATGAAACCATAGTTAACTGTCAGCAATCTGAGTAATAAATTGGAATTGATTTGTTAATGAAGTAAACTGCATTCGGTAATGTAAAAAAAATCACAACTCCCCCTCACAGACTAATCATACGCTTTCATAACCCAATCATTTGTTCTTTCACACACTCGACGTAATACATACGTCGTATTCTGATAACAGAATATTATGTAAAATGCAGTCAGACGTTAACACACGCATTACTTGGTGCATTCTATAAAGGAAGCGCCTACACAATCCAATCACCTGGTTTTTAGAGACACAAGAGGAATGAAATGACGTATTGTTGGCAGGTATGAGGGCAAACGTAAGTTGCAGCACAAGCTCTTAGGAGCTCTATGGTTTCGCTCTACACAGAGCCAAACATTTGTCCCAATAACAGTTTGTTTTGGAACTTGTGTCTTTGAGTGCATAACATGATGATGATTACCTTGTATTCTAGAGCACACAGCAACTGGTGAATAAGACAACGGTAACATGTGGCGCTGACGGCCTGTGGACCCCAGCTTACCTACCTCCATGTTTGTTCTGTGAGTATCCAGACCAGCACATTTATTCAAAACATTTGCACAGTTATATTACATAATAAAGAATAATGAAATGCATAAAACTTTGCCCATGATTTGAGGACGAAATTAAGAGAGATTATTAACATTTCAGTTAGATGATAATTCAGTTTAGTCGGCTTTAACGTATACTTTTAGGGATTTTTTTTAAGCACGGATTAAAGATATGCACAGAAATCGGTAGGTAAATACAAAAAATAATTATAATAGCAATAGGATAACGTATGTAGTTGTAGCTTAAACAGGAGTAACCAGGTAAAATTCAAGTAGAATGGTCTTAATAAGAGAAAACGAAGTGTAGGGAATGAATTAAAAACAGAAGAATTAGTGAGAAGCATGAACAGCGGTTTTGAGAAAAACTGCTGGGAAGTAAGAACATTTTTAAAAAGAGATAAATAAAGTAAAAAAAAGAAGCCTAGAAGAAAGTAGACTTGTCACTCGAGAATAAAAGTGGCGAGATGTTATATTGTGAGGTGGAGATGAAGAGAATAACTTAGAAACCTTACCTAACCTGTCTTAAACTAGCGCAATTTTTTAGGTAATTCTGCTATGTATAGCATAGGTCAGAAAATGTATTCAACATTTCTTTAATTCAATAATTTTTTCTTATGTTCTGATTGATTTCTGCTGATTTATGGCAAAAACAAGTTTTTCTGCTAATTCGTCAAAGAACACCCTTGCCGAGTAGACCAAATTCATTGGTTCGGCTTATTTGGCACGACAGACAGACAGACAGACAGACAGACAGCACACACACACACACACACACCACACACACACACACACACCACACACACACACACACACACACAATACATATATATATATATATATATATATATATATATATATATATATATATATATATAATATATATATATATATATATATATGCATGCAATAAGATCACAGTAAACATGTGATTTTAAAATATGCAAAACAACCACTGTGAAAGAGTAGTGAAATTCCAAGCGCTTTCGTGACTACTCACATTGTCAACTAGACAGGACCTGTCTAGTTGGACCAGCGGACCTACTGCAGTGTTCCTCTTTTCTTATGAGTCCGGTATTGTCGCGCGTCAGGTGTTTCTTTGTTGTGGGAGTTGACTGTGAGGTGTAGTCTAAGCCCTTTAATTGCCTTCCTTTGATGTATTACTTTCATAGTTCCTTGACAATGTGAGTAGTCACGAAAGCGCTCGGAATTTCACTACTTCCACAGTGGTTGTTTTGCATATATATATATATATATATATATATATTAATATAAAATATATATATATATATATATATATATATATATATATATTGCTGATGGCACTGCTTTTGGGAGATTCTGAAGAGAAGTTGCAGAGGTTGGTGCATGAGTTTGGTAGGGTACGTAAAAGAAGAAAATTAAAAGTGAATATAGGAAAGAGTAAGGTGATGAGGATAGCAAAAGAATTAGGTGACGAGAGATTGGATATGAGATTGGAGGGAGTATGGAGGAGGTGAATGGATGTGTCAGGAGATGGGACTATGAAAGATTAGGTGAATCATTTAACTGATGAGAGGAAAATGGTGAGTGGTGCACTTAGAAGTCTGTGGAGACAAAGAACTTGGTCTATGGAAGCAAAGAGAAGAATGTATGAGCTCTTATAAGGGTGTGAAACATAGGAGGTGAATGTTGCAACAAGGAGAAGGCTGGAGGCAGTGGAGATGTCATGTCTGAGGGCGATGTGTGGTGTGAATATAATGCAGAGAATTCGTAGTTTGGAAATTAGGAGGAGGTGCGGGATTATCAAGACTATTATCCAGAGGGCTGAGGAGGGGTTATTGAGGCAGTTCGGACATACAGAGATGTTGGAACAAAATAGAATGACATCGAGAGTGTATAAATCTGTTGTGAAAGGAAGTAGGGGTATGGGTCGGCCTAGGAAACGTTGAAGGGAGGGGGTAAGGGAGGTTTTGTGTGCGAGGGGCTTGGACTTCCAGCAAGCATGCGTGAGCGTGTTAGGAGCGAATGGAGACAAATGGTTTTTAGGACTTGACGTACTGTTGAAGTGTACGCAAAGTAACATTTATGAAGGGATTCAGGGAAACCGGCACGCCGGACTTGAGTCCTGGAGATGGGAAGTACAGTGCCTGCACTCTGAAGAAAGGGGTGTTAATGTTGCAGTTTTATAACTGTAGTGTAAGCGCGCCTCTGGCAAGACACTAATGGAGTGAATGATGAAAGATTTTCTTTTTCGGGCCACAATGCTTTGGTGGGAGACGGCTGATGTGTTAATAATAATAATAATAATAATAATAATAATATATATATATATATATATATATATATATATATATATATATATATATATATATATATATATATATATATATATATATATATATATATATATATACACATACACACACAATATGTGTGTGTGTGTGGAATTTTAAAGATGACTCAGCAACTCTACTACTCTCCTAAACAGACTGTACAGAAGAACCCTTCGTAGCTAACGCTACTACCACGTGGCTCAACACCGATATTTACATGGTGGGGGATATAGTGAACGCAACCTGTATCACCAGTAACCTGGTGGACACAGTCAACATCACACAGTCAATCAACTGCACCACAACTGGTTGGAGTTCGTCTAAACCATGCCAAAAAGGTTAGATTGTGTTATTATTATTTTTATTATTATTATTATTATTATTAGTCTGGGTACTGGTTGAGTTATTTCCGAAATATCACAATGCATATGAAATATCTGGGAAGAGAATTGGAATGAGGTGTTTGCCAACCACTGAAGAAACTGATGATTAATTAGTTAATAAGACTTACTGAGAAATCTTCTGGTATGTTTATCGCAATGATATATATAAAACTGTATAAGCCGCTGGATGACGAAACGTCTACATAGTAGAGATACTCAGATGTTGCACGTGTGTTCAATTCATGACAAAAAAATACTGATTATGATTGAAAGCCGCAGTATATTTGATAGCAATCATCATGCAATGACTCGAGGCGATCACCCCATCCGAGTGGTCAAACCTGGACAGTAAACCTAAGAGCTGTTTGAGTTTACCAGTCAGTGGTGTGGATCCATGTGACACTTAACAAGTGGCTTATCCAACTTCAATTTATCAATGTATACAAATTTCTTGTTACGCTTTAAGCTGCTTTAGTAAGCTTTTTTATTCGCATTTAAAATTATAAATAAATTTATTTCATCTCTGTATTATTTTACTTGTCATATATCAGTGTTTTGCCTTTAATGTGTTGTATTTGATCTTCCAGCATGCATCGATGATCCTCCAGTGGCAGCGAGTAACATGACTAGAGATGTTCTGACTAGCAGATTTGTTGGTTCCGTCCTTCAGTACGTGTGTTATCCTGATCAGCTTATGATCATTAACGTGAGTTCGGTACCAACGCTTCATTACTTACATTAAGAAAACGTTAAAACTGTATGAGTAACACAGCACTGCTTTAGGAGTGTGTGCAGCAGAGATTAGAGGAGCTGAGGGTTGGTGTGAGTGTGCAATGGAAATCGTAGTTGGTGCAATACGTTAATTTCATTCAAAAAAGTCTTTGAATCTAAAATAAGGGTTGAGTTTTCAAGAATGGGTAGTCAAAAGTTCATCAGGGCGTTGGTGGTTGGAAAGGTAAATTAAGAAATATTACCAGAATTGAAACAAGAGGAAAAAAGGGACGAAATTAATCGGGGTGATGATTAAGAAAAGTAGTGGTACTGGCAGTAATTATTCTATATATAGGAGAATCTTGAGCATCGTCGAGATAATGAGCACAGCAACAACAAACGTTAAGGAATGCTATACGAGACATACTCTGCATTTAACAGTCAAAAAGAAAACAAAGAAATTTGACTGTATCGTACACTTGGAAAAGAATCTCATATAGGAATAAAACGGAATACTGATAGATCAAAGCGTCGTGTGAAAGTTATTGAGTTTATTTAAAAACCCAGAAATACTTTTGAACTCAATTAAGAGGGGTTGGGCCCAAAACCCGAAGGGTGTCCAATTGGGGGGACCATTGGAAAAAAAGTGGAAAACCAAACTTGAAAAATTTTTTTTATTTTTGGGCCCTTTAAAAAAAATTTTTTTCCATTTAAATTTAAAAAAAAAAAATTTTTTCATCTATTTAAAACGGCAACTTTTGGGGAAAAGGTTTTGGAAAACCCCCTCGCTGCCACTTAAACCTTTAAAAGTCAGGAAAAATTTGTTAATTTCTATAAAAATTTGGGCCGTTTTATGGTTAAGTTTTTTAAAATTTTAAGGGTTGGGCCAAAGGCAATTCTTACTTTAAAAAATTGAAAACAAGAATAAATGTTTAATTTTAAGGAAGTTATTGGGTATTGTCAAAAAAGAATTTGGGGATTGGGTTAAATTTCATTAAAAAAACAAATTTAAAAAATTTGGTTTTCAAAAGGGTATAAAATTTTATCCTTTGGGGGTTAAAGGAAATTATAAAATTAAAAATTAAACCCAAGAAAAAAAGGGCGTTTCTATTTTAAAAAGGGGTTTTGGATAATTTTTTATTTTAAAATGGAAAATTTGGGCTGTGGGTTGCGGGCCCCAAAAAAAAACTTTCGGGAACTAAAAATCCCAAAATAAAAAAGGGAAAACAAAAAAATTTAAATTTTTAAATTTGGGGAAAAAAATTTTTAAAAAAGGTTCGGTTTGGCCCTGGGGGAAATTTTTTTTGATTTAATTTCTTAACAAAAACGGGAAATTTCAAGTTACCAAAAGAACGGAAAACCCCCAGGGGGAAAAAACTCAAGGGGAAAATCCTTGAAGATGGAAAAAAATATTCTTAAAAAAATCCTTTAAAACAAGGACAAAAAAGGTTTATGGTTTCCCCTTTTGGGCCCCGCCCCAAAAGCCCAAAAAAATTTTTTTTTTGTTTAAACCATTAGGGGAAAAGGGAAAAACTGTAAACTTAAAAATTTAAATTTTATTCGCCGGAGAGGCCCTTTATAATTAAAAAAACTAAAGAAAATGTTTTTTAAAAGAAATTTTTGAAACGTTTTAAAGGGGACGGAGGTTTCGTGGGGACCCCCCTTTTTAAATTAAAACAATAAGGGGGTTGGAAAACAATGAAAATTTGTTTCCCCAAAAACAAATATCCCCTTTTTAATTTTACAGGAAATAAAAGACCCTTTCAAATAAAATTGCCTTTTTTTTAGGGGGTTTGTTTTAAAGGAAGGGGGGGATAAGAGAAATACATTGGCAAAATAAAAAAAAAGGAAAAATAAAATAGTATACATTGATACTCAGGTTTTTAAAAAATGGACCAAAACCCATAAAAAAAACTGGGGGTTTATTAATTCACAAAACCGGAAATTGGGGTGGGAATAACCAAAGGGGAAAAACCTGAAATGGAAAAACCAACGGCCCGTTTTTAACCTAAAAAGGTTTATCTTTTCTTTTTGGCCAACGTAAATTTTTTTTTCCCCTTTTTTCCATAAAAATAATTAATATGATTATTTTTAAAATTTTTAATATTAATTTTTAATTTAATAAAATATATAAAAATATTAATTTTTAAAAGGGGCAAGAAAAACTTTGGGAACCAAAAAAAAAATTTTTAATTTAACAAAAATTTTTAAAATTATTATCCCCAAGAAAAAGCGAAAATTATGAAAGGATTAAATTTTTAAAGGTCTCAAATTTTGCCCAAGGTAATTTACCTTAGGAAAAAAAACACCACTACATTATTAAATTAATAAATAAATAATTATAAATATATTAAAATAAATAAAAATAATAAATAAAATTTTATTTTCAAAAGGGAAATTTCCAAGGGGGTGGGCCACAAAAAGAAGGGGAAAACCCGTTACCCCCACACCCCTTTCAAACTTTCAACATACAATTTTAAAATCTTTTACAATTAATAAATTTAAAATTATATTATAAAAGATAAAATATTTAAATTAAATTTTAATTTTTTTTACTTGATAATTTTCCAAGATTCTTTGGTAAAAAAAATTTTTAAATTTTTCCCTTAAAAAAAAATTAAAATTTTAAATTCCCCCTTTAAAAAAAAAAATTTAGGTAAAGGGACTTTTTTAAAATTACCGCTTTTCCCTTTTTTCCCGGGGAAGGAAAACCCCTCCCCACACAATTTTATTTTTTAAAACCCTTTTAAAAATTTATTTTTTTTTTTAATTTATATTTTTTATATTTATTTATTTTTTTCCAAAAATTTTCTTCCCCCAAAGGGGGGACCAAAAAAAAAAACCCCTACTTTCCTAACAATTTTAAATTAATTTTCCACCCCTTTCTCTTTTCAATCCGAATTTTTTTCTTTAAAAATATTTACAAAACATCCCCTTTAAAACTCCAAATCCCAACCCCTTTTTTTGGCGGTTTTCCCCCTTTTCCCCCAAAGGACTAACCCCTTATAAAAAATTTTTTAAACCTTATACTTTCCCCAATAAAAATTTCCCCCCTTATTTGCCTCCTTTAAAAACGTTTTTTGGGGGTTGACCCCCCTTTTCCCATTTAACCCTTTTCGGGGGCACCATCCCCCTTTTTTCCCCCTTAAATTTTAATTTTCTTGATTTTCTCATCCTTCTTAAATCCAAACCCCCACCTTCAAAACCCCCTTTCTAAAAACCCTTACTTTTTTTAAAAACCCCAACCCTTTCCCCAATTTAATCCAATTTTTTTTTTCAAATTTATTTAACCCCCTCTTTACCCTTTCGGCCATTTCCCCCTTTTCCAACCCCCCTACCTTTCCCAAAACAATTCCCTCAAAATGGGGCCACAAACCCTTTCAAAATTTTTTTTGTTCCCCAATTAAAAACCCGTTTTTGGATAATTTTAACCCCCCTTCATTTTTTCCCCATTTTTGAATTTTTCACCCATAAAATAAAACCCCCCCTTAACCCCCAAGGCAAAAATTATTTCCCCTTTCCCCTTCCCCCAAATTTATAAAATTTTTTTAAACTAAACATTTGGGGGAAACCACCCTTCTCCTATGTTCCTTTATATTTCACCTTTCACACACCCTTTAACCCTACCTTTTCATTTTTTTAAATCCCCCATAAACCGTTTTTCAGCAAAAATTTAACTTTTCCCAATTTTCCCCTTTTAAACCCGTGAAACCCATCCCGGGCCCACTTTTCCTTTTCCCCCCCATCTTATTTTTTAAACAACCTTTGGGCATTAAAACCCCCTTCCAAAACCTTTTAGGGAATATTTTTTCCCACAATATTTTTAAAAAAAACCCCTTGAGTCACATCCCAAAACTTTTTAAACCCATTTGGTCTTCCCCAATTAAATAATTTTGTCTGCCCTTTTCTTTCCAAAAAATTTCACCTTTTCTTCCTTAAAATAAATTAAAAAACTTCCTTCCTTTTTTTAAAACTTTTTCCGTTTTGGTTCCCCTTTCCCTTGTTTAAAATAATTTTCCCATCTGACCCCCGGCCAATCCCGGGAACCCCCCCTTTTTTTGTTTTTATCAATTTTTCAAAAAATTCCATCCCTTGCCTTTAAATAAAAAACCAACCTCTATAATTATCCAAAACTTTTTTTTTTATTTTATATAATAAATTTTATATAAAATTATTTTATAATTTTTTTAATAATAATTTTTTTAATAAAAATAAATATAAAATATAAAATTTTAAAACAAAATATTTTATTATATATAAATATATATATATATATATATATTATATATTATATTATATTATATATAGATTATTTTTTATATATAGTATATTATAGTATTATATTTTCTAAAATATATTATATTTATAATATATATATTTTTTATATTTATATATTATATATATATTTAAAATATATATTTATTTTAAAATAGTATATATTTTTAAATTTATTTTTATTTTAATATAATTTTATATATTTTATATATATATATTTTATATTTATTTTTTTAATTTAGTATTTATATATTTATGGGATTTTTATATATAAATTTTATATTTTTTATATTTTTTTAATAAAATATATTTTTATATATATTTTATTTAAAATTTTAAAATTATATTTTTATATATATATATTTTTTAAATTAATATTTATTTATATATTATATATATTTTTAAAAAGGAAAAACTAATTTTTTTATATTTATTATATATATTATTATATATATAAATTTATATATATAATATATATATAATATTTTTAATATATAGTATATATAAAATATATAGTATATATATATATATATATATAAATAATTTATATATTTTATTTTTTATAATTTATATTTTTTTTTTTTTTATAAAAACCGGCCGTTTCCCCAACCAAGGCAGGGTGGCCCGAAAAAAAAAACTTTCACCTCATTCACCCCCATCACTGTCGGGGCCAAAAACCGGGTTTTACACTACTTTTTTAAAAATGAAACCATTAACACC